GAGAGATGAAATGATGTCATATTCCTTAGGCCACCGTCTCCAAATAACAATCTTCTCACCCACAATGTCAACTCATTCTCCTTTAAAGTGAAGTCTCTCAGTTGTGTCTGACTCTTTGCGACCCCCTGGATTATAGCCTACCAGGCTTCTCCATCCATGGGATTTTCCAGGCAAGAATACTGGAGTGGGGTGCCATTTCTTTCTCCAGGAGATCTTCCCGACCCAGGGACTGAACCTGGATCTCCTGCATTGCAGGCAGACGCCTTACTGTCTGAGCCTGGCAGCAAAGGCAAGGCAAGTTCAAACCCAAGATTTGAACCCCACTGAGCAGATCAGCCTTATTTTCTCTCCTCCTTTGTTCCTGTGACTCTGCTTTGTTCAGACTTCTCTCCCCCAGGTCCCCATACTCACTCCCACTTCTCTGATTTTGTTCACACTGTCCCTCCTGCTGGCAATACCTTGTTTTTTATTAACCCCAACATCATCCTAAGAATCTATATTCTGCTAATCTCAACCAAGACCTAACTCATCCTCAGAACCACCTCTGAACACTCATTCTTCCTTAACACTATTCTCTTCTGTTTTCAAATCCAGTCACACTTGAAACTGACATCCCAAAATTGAAAATGCAGTTCTTCTGTTTCATAGGTCTTAGGGATTGTCTCAGGGATGAAATCATAAAGGTAAGGGTCAGGGAACAAGTGACCTATCCCTTCTGTAGCTGTGACATCTTAATATAGTGGGAGCACACAGTAGGTGCCCAATAATGTCTCTGCTGCTTGATTGACAGATGTATTTTGTTCTCCCTTTCCCACCTCTGAACTGTTTTTCCAATTTTATGTACAGCTGCACATTTAGTATCTGGAGCCAAATCTGAGGCTGCAGCATATCACCCAAGCTGTGTACAACATTTACAATAAAGTTGAAGATAGATGGCTAAAAAGGAACCCTAATCATCTCTGATATTATTAAATCCTCTAGTTTGAGTTCTCAGAGAGCCCAAGAAAATTTTCTTTTAATCTCTATGGGCTTTCTGTTCCATAGATGAAATTATAGAGCTGGCCTGAGAAGTAATTTTGTGAACTCATTTACCAAAGGGGATGGGGGAGACTCATTGTAGTCATCCTTCCGAGGTTTGCAAGTAATAAGCATGCTCTGTTCTCTTCAAGCCCAGAAGAGCTGTGTGGGCTTGATAAATAGCCAAGCTTGGCCCGAGTGCAGCTTCTAAAATGCTGTCTGTAAATACTGCTGAAGAGAACCATCAAAAAGTTGGTGGGTGTCGCTGATGAGTGACTGTGGGTGCTTTTGTTAGCAAACAGGGCAGCAGCCGTCTCTCTCCACTCCGTGAATGACTAGCCTGCTACAGGGACTATAATTCCCTTGTTTTCCTGGTGACTGTCTTAACCAATATGACGCCTTTGATTTTTTTTAATCAAATCAAATTAATTGGTTATGTTTGGCTATGCTGGTTCTTCACCGTTGCACGGGTTTCCTCCAGTTGTGGTACTCAGGCTTCTCATTGCAGTGGCTTCTCTTGTTGCGGAGCACAGACTCTTTATAGAGCTGGCCTGAGAAGTAATTTTGTGAACTCATTTACCAAAGGGGATGGGGGAGACTCATTGTAGTCATCCTTCCGAGGTTTGCAAGTAATAAGCATGCTCTGTTCTCTTCAAGCCCAGAAGAGCTGTGTGGGCTTGATAAATAGCCAAGCTTGGCCCGAGTGCAGCTTCTAAAATGCTGTCTGTAAATACTGCTGAAGAGAACCATCAAAAAGTTGGTGGGTGTCACTGATGAGTGACTGTGGGTGCTTTTGTTAGCAAACAGGGCAGCAGCCGTCTCTCTCCACTCCGTGAATGACTAGCCTGCTACAGGGACTATGATTCCCTTGTTTTCCTGGTGACTGTCTTAACCAATATGACGCCTTTGATTTTTTTTAATCAAATCAAATTAATTGGTTATGTTTGGCTATGCTGGTTCTTCACCGTTGCACGGGTTTCCTCCAGTTGTGGTACTCAGGCTTCTCATTGCAGTGGCTTCTCTTGTTGCGGAGCACAGACTCTAGGGCACGCGGGCTTCAGCAGTTGCAGCTCCTGGACTCTGAGCACAGGCTCAACAGCTGTGGTGCACGGGCTTATTTGCTCCGAGGCATATGGGATCTTCAAGCAGGGTTTGAACCTGAATCTCCTGCATTGTCAGGTGAATTCTTTACCACTGAGCCACCGGGGAAGCCTCAATACACCTTTTTATGTAAGTGGTGGTCTCAACTAGGGAAGGTTTTGCCTTCTCCCCATTCCTCCTGGGGAACATTTGACAATGGCAGGAAACAGTTTTTATTGTCATAGTTGGCAGTGGGGGCGGGGTACTATTGGTTTAGTGGGAGCAAAACCACCCCCAAAGGGGTGAAAATTGGTTCTTGGATTTTTTTTTTAAGTCTTACACTTTTAATATGTGTAAAGCACAAATATACATACAGGACATAGATAGATGATAGGTGGGTAGGTAGGTAGATGGTATATCTGTGGGACTGAAGTTTCACAGAGGAGGTTAATTAAGAAAAAAGTATTAAAAAAAAACTCCATATGGGACAATAATTTTAAACAGTTGAAAAGACTACTTTGTAGAAACTTCTCCCCACCTCCACTTACTTGCCAACATATATCCTAATTAATTACTTCCAGAACTTACTGCAGTTGGAGAATACCCTACTTACTTTTGTTCACTTGAGGTTTTCTTTTTTGGGGGGTGGGTAATTTTTAAAATTATGACAGTATGATAACACATTTACAGGAGACTTGGAAAATATGGAGTAAGGTTACATATAGTTCCACTATATATTACAATTATTTTTTAGGTAGATAAATTAATATTTTTAGTTGGAGTTTCAATATCAAACTTCAAAAATTAATAGAGTGAATATATAGAAAAGTAGAAGGATATAGCAGACCTGAAAAGCACTATGAACCAATTCAACATAATTCAGATTTATATAATTTTCACACAACAGTAGGACAACATATTATATTCAAGTTCCCGTAGACTATAAACTAGGAGACACTGGAACATATCCAGGAACATAAAACAAGGTGCAAACATTTCATGTCTAAAGGTGTCCCTTGAGTTTTTCTGCCCCACCCCTCTGAACGTGAGCTTGACCCTGAGAGACCTTGGCCATCTGCTTGCCACTGTGACCCCCAGCAATGCATAGCATTGGGCATGCAGTTATTCAGCTCACATTTGGTGATTCAAGTGCACTGTAACCAAGGAATGATTTCCAACACCAGACCAAGGACCCACTGGATCAACCAGACCCCTCTTCAACTTTAAGCCCCACTTCAGTGCTACTAGATTTGTTGGATCCCTTTTGGAAATAAGTTGAAGTCCCCTTCTTTGCTCCACGGTCAAGTTACTCTCTTATACCTGGTCTCAACTAGCCCAAGTTTACTCTTCTCTCCAACCTCAGAGACCAGTCATTCTACAGTCTAGCCCTTTTCTCTTCCAATGAGAGACCACAGTGAATACCATACAGATGTCTGACCAATTAAATTAAAACATTTTCAAGAAAAATATAACCATAGGCTAACCATCTTGGAAATTACACAGCAGAGGAAATGTATGATTATCTGATTTGACTTAGCGATCAATGGAATTACAGTGAACATGGGCAGAAGAAAAAAGACTGGAAGGAAATAATCCAAAATATTAACAGTGTTACCCATCTCTGGAATGTGGATTTTCAGTTTATTTTTTCCTATGTTTTTGGCTAATTTAGGAGTTTCTTATAATAAGCACGCATTTCTTTTACCATAGAAAAGGGGTTTTGGTGGCTGGGTTTTTAAAGCACCATTTATGATATTGCCACGTCAAAGAGGCAGATATAGGCTTGATCCACGGATCCAGGACTGGTCCTATTTTTTTACATGGTGACTCCCACAAAAATATTTTGGGTGGGAGGGATTTCTGTGCTCAGGAAAGTCATTGGATTGTGGCCAACCGAGTCCATTAGGCAAACAGCACCAAGTTTCATGCCAGGATGACGGCTACTATTTGTCCCAAGAATATTTTATATTTGTTAGATTTTTTATAAGTGTCCATGATTCCCCAAAATACAAGACATTCATTCATGCTAAATGCAAAAACCGACCAATCAAACAAAAGAACACAAGCCCACATCTTTTACAGTATTTTCCAAGGGCTTCTTGGCTGCCTGAAGTCAAGTTCATGACATCCGGACCAAGGAAGATTTCTTAATGAAATGTCTCTTGAAACCTAGACCACATTTCTTCATTTCTTCCTCACGGGTAGCTTCCATGACTGACTTCCCAAATATCCAAAACCACTCCTGTCCTGAAAAATTTTCTAGGTACTCCCTCCTCCTAGCCCATCTCCCCTGAACCATCGCAGCCAGTTCACACTTCAGTATTTGAGGAGTTCTTGTTTTGTGTGATCAAGGAATGCTTTCAAATACTAGAACTTTGGCAGATCAGTTAATAAAAAGACTCAAACAGTAGATCAGGCAATTCATGAATAATTACAGTGCCCAGGGTGAAGCTAACAACGTCTGGAAGGGGATCCAAGCACCCAGGCTTGGCACACAGATTGTTTCAGCTCTGAGTCACTGTCTGCTCTGACCTTGGTCTCATATACAAGTATACACTCATATGCAAGTGAGGATGTAATTAATGCTGCAACAGTTTACACGCTGTCTTGTAGTTAAGGCGAATCATACATGCCCGTCAAAATTTGGTGACCTACTGGGAAGGGTTCATGGCATTCACGGCACAAGAGGCATATTGACACGTGGTTTAAGAACCACTAGGAAACTTAAAGTATGTCTTATATTCATGGCACTCCATACTCCAGGACAATGACATTTAGGATCCTCTTTTAAAACAAACAAACCTGGGGGGTAAGGATCCCTTAAGAAAAGATTAGATCTGTCTACCCAAATCTGCCAGAATTAAAAGGAAGAGACTACCTGCTGGGTGAAACATCATCCTTACCTCCTCCAGGGCCCATAGAGAGTCCACCACGGGCTTGATCTTCTTCTGGTTGTAGAGTGCAATGAGCTTGTCCACCACTCCCCGAATGAGGCCAGCACGGCCCTGTTTGAAGAGCAGGTTTAGAAGGGAAAACCCAGCGATGACTTTGTTCTCTTCGTATAGCTTGATGGGGTTCACCTTCTCGACTTGCCACCACTGGAAAGAGAGCAGGTGTGGGTGACAAGGCGTCAGTGCTGGGCAGGCTGGGGGGATTCCAGCTGGCCCGGAGGTACCTCTGGCTGGTGTATTTTTGTAAGGGCCTCCTAGGCTGGGCGCTGCCATGAATGCACAGTGATGCTTCTAAGATGCCCAGGATCTAGGTTGGGGGGAGCCCTTTACGAAGACAGCCCCTAGGCCACATGTGACCAGAATGCTGAGTCACACAGTTTGGAGTCGTGATCTGGAGCTGGATCCCGCCTGACTATCTGCTCCCAGTCACTCTCCAGGCTTCATTTTCCTCAGTGACGGACCGTGGCAGGATGCTGCCTCTGAGGTCTCCTGGGAGAATTTAGCCTAAAGCACTTGGCTTAGTGGATGGTGGTGGTGCTGATGATGGGCTGGTGGAGGGAGCAGGGGGCAGAGAAGTCCAAGCGAGATGGGGACGGGGTGGGGTGCCTGTGGAAGCAGCTTTCCTTGCAGGGGACAGCCGCAGGGCTGGGGAGGTGGGTCGGAAAACACGAGATAAAGAAGAGAAGAGAAGCGTAACAGGAAGAAGGAACAGCATGACGGAGTGATGAGGCCAGAGGGTTGGGACTAAATTGGCGGTTCTCAGCTAGGGGCAGTTTTACCCTCCCCCCTCCCAAAGGACGTTTGGTAAATGTTTGGGGATGTTTTTTTGTTGTGATAACTCAAGGCAGGGAATGAACTGGCATCTACTGGGTAGAAGCCAGTGTGTGTGCTCACTTGGGTCCAACTCTTTACTACCCCTTGGACTATAGCCTGCCAGCCTCCTCTGTCCGTGAAATTTTCTAGGCAAGAATGCTGGACTGGGTTCCTGGAGTATTTCCTCCTCCAGGGATCTTCCCAACCCAGGGGTAAAACCCATCTCTTGCATCTCCTCATGGGCAGGTGGACTCTGCCACTGCACCACCTGGGAATTGGGAAAAGCCAGGGATGTTGCTAAATATCCTGCAATACACAGGGCAGGTCCTTGAGACAAAATCATCCGTCCCCAAATGTCACTAGCACTAAGGTCCTAAGTGGGGAACCCACACCTGACAAGTACTGCTGCCTTATTTCCTGTCTCTCGTCTTCCACTTTAGACATGAAAAATAAGTGAAAGTGAAAGTTGCTCAGTCATGTCTGACTCTTTGCAATCCCATGGACTATACAGTCCATGGAATTCTCCAGGCCAGAATACTGGAGTGGGTAGCCTTTCCCTTCTCTGGGGATCTTCCCAGCCCAGGGTTTGAACCCAGGCCTCCTGCATTGCAGGTGGATTCTTTACCAGCTGAGCTATCAGGGAAGCCATAAGTAAGAAAAAATAAGTAGATAACCCATTAACAAAACACAGAAATGGTTATCCAACTGCTTTGTTCTGACTTAATTATGTCCCCTTTGGTGCTGGTTAGACTTTAGAAATTTGAAGTTCCAGTTTCTGGAGGACTCTAAGAGATTAAAATGGTTACTAGTTTAATACAGAAGGCAAAGTGCCATGCGATGGACACTTAGGAACATTTATAATTTAACGTTTATGTTATGGTTTGTTTCCTTTACATCCTGCCTCCTTCCAGGATTGAGGAAGCTCAAAAAAGTAAAATACCTTGGCTTTTTTTAAAAGTGGGGACATGAGATGGTTGGAAAATAAGTCTAAGAAAGACAGGTTTCAACAGGGATAAGGTTCACGCACAACATTTTCACCAAAATACAGTCCCCAGGGGCCCAGGGCCGGCTCTAGAAGAGACATGTATTTGGCCTGGCTGCTTGCCACAGAAGCAGAGGTGGAGAAATGATTAATAACTTGATTCATGGTGTATGCACACTGCTTCCAGCAGTGTTTGTGAAATGAAAGCTCACTGAGTCTGTAATTGCTGCCCAGTCGTGGTTAAGTGAGTTCCAGAGTCCAATGCCTGGTTTTGAATTCCAGTTCTGTCACTTACTAGGTGTGCCACTGTAAGCAGATTGCTTAACCTGTCTGTGTTCAGTTTCCCTACCACACTTCGCAGGGTCGTCACGGGGAATAAGTGTGTTAACACATACAAATGACTTAGCTCAGCATCTGTAGTATGTGGTCTATAAGTATGAAATCTTTTTATCATCAGAAGCTGGAGAGATATTTTGGATTGAGTGAATATGAGTTTTGGATCTGGAGTCAGACTGCTCTTGAAATGTTGACTTCAATTGTTATTATCATTACCCTTATGATCTAAAAACAAATGCCATGTGAACACAAACTCTGTAAGAATTTTAAGTGGGAACATCATTAGGATAGCTGCGTGAGAAATTCCTGTATGATTCTGACTATGCTTTCGATTTCTAAGGTTTTCTCCAATGTACAGAAGAAAATGCCTTTCTAGAACCTTCCATAGCAAAGCCATCAGTCCACTCCCTCAGCATGCCCTACCTTCAGTTTGCTTCTAACCGACCAACTAACATTGAACCCGGCCCCTGAAAGGGAATGGACTTTGTTCTTGACCTCCAACTATAAAGCCTTCTGGTAATCAGAAGCCTTGTTCTGGGCAGGAGAATCTTACCCTCCATCCTGGCTGTTTTTACAAGCGCCTTCATTGAACCTGGGCACACTGCAATTATTTCATTAGCACTGTGTGTTGTGATTGTGCATGTAGGGGAGAAAGGGAAAACACTTCTTACAATTGTATGTAATTTGGGAGCAATTTGGTTCCCCACAGCAGGTCGTCAGCATCACATTAATTACAGCCACAGCAATGAAACAGCTGCCAGGGACACAAAGCCTGTCTTCAGGGGACATGATCCAGACAGCATCCTTCTTTAGGCTCCATTCTTGCTCCCCTGTTTATCCCGTAGCTGCATAATCCTTGACCTGAACTTTGAAGTTCAGACACAAGCAGAGGCCCTTTCATTCCACTCTCAGGGCAGGGAGTATTGATCACTCCAGAATCAGGGGGTGTTTGGGGATAAAGCCTTTGGCAATCAGAGCTGGCACTTTGAGGGCATCTGGATACCTCCACAGCGTCACGCTGAGAGTAAATTCTAAACCCTTTGCCCTGGCTTTGTCTGACCGCTCTGTTCATAATGCCTCCACCCCATCCTGCTCTTCTCTTTTGCAACACCCTATCTTCATCCCTTTCAGAGATGTTCTGAAAAGCATCTTATTAATACATGTTATTTATTTCAGCTTGTCTCCCTCCCTCCCAAGGACATCAAATGCACCAGACTCATTCGCTGCGGTACCCGGTGCTTGGCACAGCACCACAAACAGTAGGTGCTCAGAAGATGCTCACAGAACGAGTGAGTCCCAGCACCTCACTGGCTGCTGGGGAGGGTAGAGGAGAGAGGACAAAGGCAAGCTCTGATGAGACGAAGCGACCCCTTGTTGTGGGTGTGGGGGTAAAAATGCAGGTTCGAGTCCAGATTAGTTTAATTCTAGCAACTGTAGCTCTAGGTGGGAATGCAGGCCTGAGTAGGTTCGTGATGCAGTGAATGTATCAGGAACGCAGCTTCTCAACTGCAGACACAGTTACCACTGTATTCAGGACATGAGCATCTAAGTTAGTGGTTCACACACTTGCCCCTATCAAAAAAATTGCCCCAGGAGCTTGCGAAAATTTGAGGTCCCATTGTATCTCCAAGCCAGTAGAATTAGGATAAGGAGAAATGTCAGGCAGCCCTGGAGACGCAGTTAGAAAGTAGCCAAACTGAAAGACTGGTCTCTCCATGGACCAAACAGAATTCACTAATGCTAGGTTTATTTTTGACCAATGATTAAGAACATCAACAATCTCTGTTGAAACCAAAATAAAGCTTTCTGGAGTTTCTCTGACTCTCTCACCTCTCTGCCTCATTTGAACAAAGCACCCCAAGTCACAGTCCTGACCATGTGTAATGAGCAGGGTGGCAACACAGGCTGTCTTGCCAATGAATGATGCAGATGAAAGACAAGATTTAGCCTATCAGGTCCATGTTCTTAGAAGAGCTCACAGCATGCCAGGCACCACCCCACCCTCATACGTTAGATGTGCATGGGTACTTACTGATTTTGCAAAGCTGAAGAAGCTCTTGGTCTCCCCAGTCACCATGTTGGATGAACCTGCAAAAGGAAGACTCCCAAGTCAAGCTCATGAAAATCAATCTCTTGGTTCACAGGGAAGAATGGCAGTTGTTTGGCCCTGAACTGTCAAGAGCTTGAAAAGAAATTTAATTCAGCCTTGGAAAAATGAGGGAAATGGAGGGGGTGGGTGGTGTCAAGTTGACAATTTTAACTAAGTATCACTGGATCAAAGAGGAAGTAACATTTCTCAAGGCAACCATTTTCATCACTTGGGAAAATTGGTCCTGTGGCAAAATGTGATTTAAGCCAACATTCTAATAAAGTGATGGGCTGCCAAAATGTCTTGCTGGTTCCATTCTTGGAGACTGAGAAATGAACTCATTTGTGAGCTTCTTTTATGGTTTTAATTTGATTCCTTGGTGAGTGAGAGGCTTGGGGAGATGACATTGACTGGGCATTTAAGTGGTGGGGAGAGGCGGGGCTGGGCTAGAATTTAAATGGATGGAAATACAGGGTAGAGAGCAACAGACGAGGGTGAAAACAGGCTCAGAAACCAAGGAGATGGTGTGAGTCATATGTTAGCTCCAAAGAGGTCTGGGCAGAAAGGAGAAAACCATCTGAGACCAAAGGTGTAGGTAACCAAGCTTTGCTAGTGAACTAGTGATATTCAGAGGGAAGACAGGGAGCTGAATTAGGGAAGATTCCCTAAGATGCTCGTGCAGAAAGAAAAGACCCCCTTCTGGGTTCTGGGTTGGGTGGAGTGTGAGAGATACTATACAATATTGGTGCCTTTTCAACAACTTCTCTGCTTTGCCCCCACAGGGACTAAGATCTTCTCAGAGAATCGTTAAATGAAAAAACAATGTCTGTTTTAAACTCACTTTTTTGGCATTGGTGAACTTGCTTCTCCTTTCATGGCATGGCTTTTATGAGATACAAACATCACAGCACTAGGCTTTCATTACTCAGTAGTCAAGTAATTGCTATAATGAATTAGATACTTGTGATATGATCAAGTTGTATTGTACCAGAATCACATCGTGAAAGTAAGGCATAAAAAACAGAACTCATACATGAGCAACAATGGATAAAGTGTTCATCTGCATTTGACTCACATGTCAGTCATAGCCAATATCCATATGTTGTACATTGACATTCATAACTTCTCTTATCAATAGTAATAATTTTTAAATTATGCATCTGCCTCCAAAAACTTTCACTATTAATACATGGCCACTATGGATAATGCCAGAATACTCCAGCAATGAAAGCTTCTTCATTCTGTTTCTGTCACAATGATCTGATGATGACAAGATGATGCATGACCACTTACACCTTTCACGTATCTCTTTTATAAACTTCTCAGCTAATAGTACAGAACTGAGTATTTTTTCCCTGAGTCATACAGAAGTAAGGCTCAATTTTCTACTCTATTTCCATGGAACAGAGTGCCAAAAATCTCACACACTGGAGAAGCCCAAGATCATATGGCTTTGGAATGTGACATCTGGCTTCAGATATGTTTTTTTCTTTATGGAGACTAGTGTTTAAATTGCTTTCTATGCCTGTAACAAAGAGGAGAAGAAGGGGAAGGAGGAGGAGGTGGTGTTGGAGGAGGAAGACAAGGAGGCAAGTAAGAAGAAGAGGGAGGAAAGAGAAAGAGGAGGCTCTGGGGTCTCACTCTGCTGGAGGAAACCTCTCCGAGAGGACCTTCATAAATCCCCCCAGACCCAAGACCATGTAAGTGAATGTACAGGCAGGCATGGACTCCGTCCCTTCAGAGCTTCTGTCTTGATTGGGACATACAGAGTAGTTTAGAGGAAGGAAATTCTGTACTTTGCAATTTCATCTTCAGTAATGAAGATCTTCCCATTTATCCCCAGCATCCCCACCACTGCCTGCATCCTATCCACTCCTCTCCATCCACCTGTGGGTCCTTTATTGCTTCCTTTTTGGAGCTTCCTTTGAAGCTGTTAGTGTTTCCCTCCTGTGCCACCTACTGTGGCCAGGTTTCATCTCATCACTGCCTTGGCTTGGCCTTGCTGTATTTCTTCTAGAATGAGACATGCTCATAGGATAATAGTGCAGTAGGCACTTTTATAATCGAAAACAATGAACAGCGATAGCAGTGTTATAGAAAACATGAAAAAATTGAGACCACCCCCATCTTATTCTGTCAACATATCAGCACATCTCATCTTTCAGAGCCTTTGTAAGCACCCATGCAGTGCTCCCTGCCCCCCGCTTCTGTTGAGCACTCACCATATAAAATGTAGGTCCCCAGTGGTTTGAGAAGGCTGAGGCCTTTCCCGGTGTTGTCCCCACAGAGGCAATCCAAAACAATGTCCACTCCTTCAGCAGAGATTCTAAATGGCAAGACGACAAAGTAAAATATTGTAACCTGTCAGGGAACAAACTGTCAGGCCCTCTCCCCTCCCATGTCATACTGTTGACTCTCAGGAACACAGAGAGTTCTGAGAGCATCAAAACATACAGAAGAAGCCTGGGAAGCAGAGGTATCCTCCTGAGTCCATGTCAGAGAATTTCACAAAGCTGGAGGATGCTAAGAACCCAGCTGGTGGTGCCAGCATGGAATGTCACAGTCTGCCTAGCCGCCTCACTCAACGTCTCTGAGCCTCAGCTTTCTTCTTTGGAAAGTGGACCTAGCATGTCTTTTTGTGCTAGGAATGAAGTGAGATGACAAATGTGATGCTTGGCCCATTGCTAACCACAAAATAGTCACTTTGTAAGTGAATCAGCAGCTCATATTTGTGGAGCTTGGGTCGTGTGACCAACTCTGTCCAAGGTGCTGAAGACAGAGTGCTACAACCAAGCAAGCTCTCTGTCTTCATGGGGCTTCCAGTCTAGCAGGGTTTGGCTTTTTCCTTCTCCACCTCCCTCCTCAGTGAATCTATAAAGGCACTAATGTAACTTGCAAACTTCTGTTTGTCCGATCTCCAGGTTCAATGTATAAATATACTCTCAGAGGAAGAGGGTTAAATAGAGGGGATCTTCCTACAGTAATGGAGGGTTCCAGCAAAGAGGGAATCCACATACATCCTCTATTAGGAAGATTCCTTCATCCATTTTTTATTTAACACTTAGTAATTCACTTACTCATGCACTTAATAAACATGTACGGGACTTCCTGGGTTAAAGGAGATTATGCAGGAGGGGCTGTAGGACTGGAACTCTCTGAGGACGTGTAGGGAAAATATTCCTGCCCGCAGTGTTACCCGTTGTAGCTGGACCCTGCTCTGGTCAGACAAGAAAGGCATTTCCTCAGATTTGTCCGTTGTCAGGGGTTATCTTGTCTTAGCACATCACTCAGTTTTTCTACCCCCACTCCCATCCCTCAGCGAAGTTCACGCACTAGCTAGCATCACCAGCTGTGTCCACAGTGTCACCAACTAGGAAATTACACATGCACCTACTGGGTTCAGACGAGAAGTTGATCTTCTCATGCCTCAAGAGCTGTCTTAACAAGAGTATGCCCTTTAAAAGCCCTCGGGTCTTATCCAAAACCCAGCTCATTACAGAGCATCTTCCAAAGTGATCAGCTTTGCTTCTACCAAATAGAGGGCTTATCTCATAGGTGTGTCTGTTCAAGTTCCATCTGCAAATTAGCTGAGCATTGTACAATTGATGCTTTTGAACTGTGGTGTTGGAGAAGACTCTTGAGAGTCCCTTGGACTGCAAGGAGATCCAACCAGTCCATCCTAAAGGAAATCAGTCCTGAATATTCATTGGAAGGACTGATGCTGAAGCTGAAACTCCA